TGCGATCCCGTTGCTGGTCGCGGTGTGGGCGTGACACCGAGGGTTGCGATCCCGTTACTGGTCACGAAAAAAGACAAAAAAAAAGGAAAATAAAAAAAAAACATGGAGGGTAAAACCTAAAACCTAGCTTGGCACACCTGGTCCTTCATAATCTGCTTCAACCCTCTCTCTACTTCATCTCCTACACCCCCCCAAGGCTCTGTGCTCCAGCCTCCATGAATTTGTCATGTCTCTGAGCACACAGTATTCTTTCCCAGTATAATGCCAGGCACTTAGGCTGTTTCTTCTGCTTGGAATGCCCTTTCTTTCACTTTTCAATTGACAAACTCCTATTCCATCAGCTCAAATGTCATCTGGCTGGTTAGAGTGTTTCCTGTTTAAAGGTCTGGGATTTGATTCCTGTACTGGCCAGCCAAAAACAAACAAACAAACAAACAAACAAACCCAGAAACAAACAAAAAACCCCCCCGCAAATAGGGCTGGCCAGTTAGCTCAGCTGGTCAGCTCAAATGTGACGTCTCTGTGAAGTCATCCCCAGCACTGTCAGGCAGTGAGTTTTCTCCAACTCTGCAAATCTTTAATACATAGCCCTCTGAATCCAAGCAAAACACTTGGCCATGGCAGTTCTCAATCAATGCTTGGCACAAGGAGGAAAATAGGTCTTACCTGCCACAGGTTGGTGCGGTTTGGCTGGAACTGGTTCCCCCAAGGGTAAACCTGACCTGCCAGGAGAGCAAGGAGATGGCAGAGGAGGGAGAGGCGGAGCATTGGGGGAGGAAAGAGAAAGAGTGAGGGAACTACAAGGGTGTTAGGAGGGGATTTTTTTACCTCCCGGCCATGCCCTCCTTGCTGCACTGCTTCAGGAGCTCGGGGGCCTCCTGATTTGCTCCTGGGCAGCACAATTCTACGTGCAGTTCTCGGCCAGTGCCAGTCTGTAAACTTTGTTACCAGTTCATGTCCTCATAAGTACAGAAATTGAGAGTAAGCATTGGGAAATGTGTTAATTGACTTAGGCTGCATAAATGAACAAGTAAGAAGCAATCTCATTTGTAATATTAAAAACCTTAACTACTGATGCACTGAGTATTCGTTCAGAGTGTATGTAGAGATGCTTGATGTGGGGACTGCTTTTCACTGTCACAGCTTTCTGTGTAGTTAGGATCACAGAATAACAAAGCTATGAGCCAACAGTGATGCTTTATATTAATCCTGTCCCTCTATGGAAAAGGTGTGTAGTTTTTTCCTCTTTTCCCCTATGCTATGTTGTTCTATTTATTGAAATGTAACTTACATCTGTGCAATCTCTAACAAAAAAAATTTTTGTCTGTTTTTTAATTCCATTTTTCCAGTTATTAACTTTTATGGTATTTTTCACATGTATTGAGATGGATTGGGAATGAAAACGAACTTGTCCTTCATCACAAATAGTTTAAGAAGTACCGCTCTAGAAAACACAGACCCCTCCCACCCTTTAAAGCCCCCCATGCAGGGCAGGATGAAGAAGAGAATAAAGGGAAATCGTCTTGGCATTT